TTTAAATTAGGGGCTTCCAAATTTTGTGCAAGTGATGAGTGGATAGTGGAGAAGCGGTGAATAATGTTTTGTTTTCATCCATTCTCTAACAAGAGTTTGCTCATATTAAAGTGTCCGTCAAAATCAAAAGAGTACTCTCAAGCTTCCACGAGATTATAAATAAGTTTGGCAAAGGGTGTCGAATCATAAATAACTTGAAATCAAATAATCTAATATAAGTGATTTTACGCAACTACCATTTTGCTTCCAGTTGACTGCCTCTGCAAATGTAATCCCAAACCAGACAGCAAACAAGGCAACTCTTTTATTTCAGGATTTGCAGATAAGTCTTGTGTCTACAATCAGACGGGCACTGAGCAAATTTAAACTGCAAGGAATGTGTGCCAAGACAAACACTGTGTCTACGCAAAATAAAATACAAAAATAAAAAGGAAAGAGGAAAAACATTTTGCAAATGCTCAAACTGTGAAATTTAATCCCGTTGCAAAAATAAACTAATGACAAGTTAACTAGAGAAATTGCATTTTCTCTGATGATGCAGCGTGAACGCTGAATGACCGAGCTGAAATTTGCTGAAGAAGCTAAAACTGACTCAACTGAGTTAAAACATAGAGAGCATGAGCTAAAGGAGTACAACAGCTGCTCAAAGGAACAGAGCAGCATTTAATTAGCAAAAGTAGTAAAAACTTAGCTCGAAAGTTACAATAGAAAAAAAGCTAGCTGAAAGCTAATAGTAGCTAACAGTAGCAGAACAGTGGGTTAAAGCTAAAATTAACAGAGGACTAAAGTAGGACTCTTAATGTAATCTGGAACTATGCTTTAAAAAGTTGTTTTTTTTTACATATAAAAGTTACAATAAACAAAACAAAGGACAAAATTCCTGATCAACCTGATTGTTTTAACATAATGAATGTTTAAAGTGGCACAAGTGCAGCTGTATCAAGAAACATGAGAAGCAATAAACAGGAAAACAATAATCTGAATTTTGACTCCGCAGTCACACACTTCTGTAAAATATAGTTTTTTTTTCTGTGCATGCAAGACATAAAGAGTAACACTTTTACAATCAGTTGTGTTCTGTCTTTCAAGAACAAACAAGTTCAGTTTGACTCGATAGATTTATACAGTTTCAGTCATGACAGAATATTTTGAAACAAGTCACAATACGTTTTTAAAGTGCTTCTTACCAACTGGACTTGGAGATGAAATGTTCTGGTTTGCTTTGTTGCATCAAGGTCTGAGTAGTGTGGAGTCATTTATTAAACTGTAAATTCTGCATCATATTAAAGTCCAGTTGAAGATGACCTGAGGCAGCCTGCCTGCAAGCTCGAGTTGGACTGGAGAATAACAAACAAATTCAGCAAACTATGAGCCGAAAAGAAGAAGTTTAAGATGATATCCAAGCTGAAGTCCTGATGTGATTTTTGATCAAATGTTGTGGAAGGTAATTAAGACATGCAGTGCATGTAAACAAACCTTCTGTCATTGTTGCTCTTGTTCTGTTGGTGTTTTTAGTTGAAAAGGACAGTACAGCCTTGAAGCTCTTGTAAATGATTTGTGTACGCATTTTAATGAAGATGTATTCAAATGAGAGTGAGACGATGTTCAGAGATGATGTGACAAGTTTAACCTCATGCCTTCCAACAATCTGCCAAATCAGTCAATTTAACAGAAAATATGCAGACGTGAAGTTTCTTCCCAGAACTCCACTGCAGGTGTAATAAACTGACACTGACTCGCTGGCATCTCTTGGGTGTGACACTCAAGGATGAGGTTGCCGAGGTCGTTAAAAAGCACCGAGGCGGCAGGGCTCTGGGGGTGGATGAGATTCGCCCTGATTTCCTTAAGGCTGTGGTTGTTGCGGGCCTGTCTTGGTTGACACGCTTTTGAAACATCATGTGGACATCTGGGGCAGTGCCACCGGACTGGCAGAATGGGGTGGTGGGTCCTCTCTTCAAAAAGGGGGAACGGAGGGTGTGCTTCTATTACAGGGGCATCACTCTCCTTAGCCTCCCTGGTAAGGTCTATTCAGGGGTACTGGAGAAGTGAGTCCGATCGTTGGTCGAACCTCAAATCCAGGAGGAACAATGTGGGTTTCGTCCTCGCTGTGGAACACTGGATCAGCTCTTTACCCTCACTAGGGTCCTCGAGGGGTCATGGGAGTTTGCCCATCCAGTCTACATGTGTTTTGTGGACTTGGAGAAGGCATTCGACCATGTTCTTCAGGGTACACTACGGGGGGTGTTTCATGAGTATGGGATTGGGGCCCATTGTTACAGGCTGTTAGGTCCCTATACAAGCGGTGCAAGAGTTTGGTTCACATTGCCGATAGTAAGTTGGACCCCTTCAGGGTGGGAGTTGGACTCCGCCAGGGCTGCATGTAGTCACCAATGCTGTTCATAACTTTTACGACCGAATTTTTCGGTGCAGCCAGCTGGCAGAAGGTTTCCAGTTCGGTGGCCTCAGGATTCCATCTATGCTCTTTGCAGATGATGTGGTCCTGTTGATGTCATTGTGCCGTGACCTTCAGCTCTCACTGGAGCAGTTTGCAGCAGAGTGTGAAGCGGCTGGGATGAGAATCAGCACCTCCAAATCTGAGGCCATGGTCCTCAACCGGAAAAGGGTGGATTGCTCTCTTCAGGTCGAGGGTGAGGTTCTGCCTCAAATACAGGAGTTCAAGTATCTTGAGGATTTGTTCACGAGTGAGGGAAGAATGAAGCGTGAGAATGACAGATGGATTGGTGCAGCATCTGGAGAATTGCAGACTCTGTACCGGTCCGTTGTGGTGAAGAGGGAGCTGAGCTGTAAGGCAAAGCACTCTGTTTACCAGTGAATCTACATCCATGCCCTCACCTATGGTCATGAACTCTGGTAAGGATACTCCCTGGGTGCCTCCCTAGAGAGGTGCTTTGGGCATGTCTGACAGGGTGGAGACCTCAGAAAAGACTCAGGACACGCTGGAGAGACTATGTCTCTTGGTTGGCCTGGGAACGCCTTGGAATCCTCCCAGAAACGCTGGAAGAGGTGGCTGTGGAAAGAGAAGTCTGGACCTCCCTGCTCAAGATGCTGCCCTCACAACCTGACTTCAGCATAAGTGGAAGATAATGGATGGATAAATGGATGGTTTAATGATTTCATGTCAGCTGTTCAATCCACATCTGAGACAAAATTTAGTAAACTGGTAAGCATTCAATAAGAAAGATGAATTTTAAAATGTTTGCTTTGTTTCACGTCATCACAGATGGAAAATAAGTTGATGTGCAGTCTGATGAACAAAAATCAAAGTAAGATGTTAAAATTATATTTTTCGTGTGTTTTAATTTTGTTTGCAAAGAACCTTAAAAACTATGGTTGGATTTTTTTTGGAAGAATGCTGAAAACAAGAGTAAAAGAATCTGCTGCAGTGAGCAAGAGAACTCACTTAAAGATTTATTTACCTGCCAGACTGCAACAAGAACAAAAGCCATCAGCTACACAGGAATGGACTCAAAATGCCCTGTAGTGTGCACTCCAGAACCCTGACCAAATCGGAATTTGTGACCAGACGTGAAAATTGCCTTTTACTCATCATCCCCACGCAGTACATCAAAGTGTTTTACTCAGGAGGAAGGGGTAAATTTGGCCAAATGTTCAGTGCTGACTGAACTGTGTGAGTCAATGCAGACCTGAAGGCTTTTTTTGTTTTCTGTGTCTCAACTTGAAAAGATGTGAGAAGTCATTTTTATCACTTAAAATGAGCCTTTAATCAGGGGCACCTCCAGGAATTTTTTTGAGATAAAAAAAAAAAAATACTGCAATATGGGATGCGATGAAGTGCTTTTTGATTAAGGTGTACATTGTTTTTGTTTTTGCTTTGTTTTGTTCATTTTTTTAATGTTACATTTTATATTACTAACTGAGCACAGTCGATACTCATCAAAGCTTGTCCTCCTCTCTTAAATTGATATATTTAAATTAGCATTCCTTGAAAGCATAAATAAAACTTGCTGCCTTTGAACTCTAATGTTATAAATAAAGACCTTACATGATCTGTTCGATCAGCATATGTGTTGGGGATGACACTCAGCTATTATCAGACCAAATTTTAGCGCAATATTTGTGAAACTGACTGAGTTATAGCAATTTTTGTGCTTGAACTGTGATTCTTGAAGACCATCTTTACTCTGGTGGACTCCAAGACTTAATCAGTTTCATATGCACATATAATAATTAGTTTCTGGGAGTTTCAATAAAATCCATGCAGTGGTTCATGAAATATTTAGCTAACAGACTGTTAGACTGACTGTATGCATATGTATGTACAAGTGTCCACTCTAACCAACTGGGTGCTAGTAGGTTGGGGCAACAAATTAATGGGGGGTGGACATTCCTCTGCTTCCTCCTCGATGGTGCCCTTGTCTTTAGTTTATGTTGATGTTTTCACTTCTGAACATATGTTTATTATATTAAATATATTAGTAGCCTATTTAAACTTACATTTATAGCATAGTTTATTTATCAATTCAAGTAAGGCACTGTCGAGTTGGTGGCTTTTATTTTGGAAAAAATAAACAAACTCCCATGCTCCGTTGTAGTGTTCCGTAAGGGAAGTTTTATTTTGAAAAAGTAAACCGGAAGTGTATTTTATTCAAGTAGCTTGACTATATGGACAATTGAAAGAGAGCCGCAGAAACCCACCAGACGCGCAGCCGCTGCACGAAGAGAGGATGTAAAACAACAAAATTAAGTTAATTTAATTTAAATATATATTTTTTTACATATAAAAATACATGTTATATTTTGCTCATGAGGAGGATTTAACCTCTGCAAGATTCTTTTGCTTGTTTCTTTTTAGCTTTTTGTTTGTTCTTTTTCATTTTGAGCTGCACGTGAGGATGGAGAAGCAGCAGTTTGGAAGGAAGGGTCCTGCTGGAGAGCCTTCAGATCGCTGTGGAGCAGCTCTCCAGATGAGATTAGATTAGATTACAACAAAGTGCTAAACAGGTTGAGCAGGTGGAACCATGAAGTACGGTCCTGTGGTTCTGACGGCTGGTCTCACTGGTTTGCTCAGCTTCAGCCTCCTCGCTGTGGCAATTGGGACTGATTATTGGTACATAATCGATGTGAATAAACCCAACTACACAGGTCCGGATGACCTGAGCTCACACTCTGGATTATGGAGAGTCAATGAAGGTTTGTCAGTTTTATTTTCCTATAATATATTTCCTATAATATATTTTGTATATTTGTCAAAGATAAGATGGGTGTTTTAAAATCTCAACATTTGCATAACTTTTGATAAAAAAAACCACACGATTCATCATAGTTTAGCTTTAAAAAATATATATATTCTTTGCAATTCATTAAATAATTACTTCAGATCATTTTTTGCTTTATGTGTTGCATCTCTGCTTTACTCCTCTGGTGTTGTTGCTCATCCCTCAGTGGCTCCTGATTAAACCCTCAGTGAAGAACGCAGGTGCAGAAACTGCCTGCAGTGGATTTCAGATTGTGATAGTGAGGCAGGCAGGGGATGCCAGGGCTTGTGTCTTGGTGTAGTACAGTACATGTAATAACATGTGAGCTATGAACTGATTTTTTTTTTTTTTTTTAAAGGAATCAGCCACGTGGCTTACAAAAATGTGCAATGATACAAGATCATTTGTCACCGTGGCAGCTCACAGCTCTATCATCCTCAGCTCAGGAGCTTGTTTAGCAGTTCTTCTGGACATTTTATGATTGGTCTTATTTAGGGAAGCAGAATATTGGATTTTTGGCCGATATGTTAAAACTTATTTGGCCAATAACTGATACCAATATTTTTAATATAGTCTACTTTCCTTTCCTATTTATTCATATTTGCTACAAAAATTGTGTAACTGGTGTCATATATTCAGTAACAGCCATATGATATGCATAGCACTTTAACTTATATATTGAATGAAAAGTGGGCAGCACGGTGGTGCAACTGGCAGAGCTGCTGCCTCTCAGCGAGCAGGTCCTTGGTTCAAATCCCGGTCTGGGGGCCTTTCTGGGTGGAGTTTGCATGTTCACTTTGTGCATGTGTGGGTTTTGTCAGGGTACTCCAGTTTCCTCCCACAGACCAAAAACATGCATGTTAGGCTGATTGGTAACTCTAAATTGTCCCTAGGTGTGAGTGAGAGAGTGAATGGTTGATTGTCTCGTTTGTCTCTATGTGGCCCTGTGATGGACTTTCGACCCATCCAGTGTGTACCCCGCCCCTCGCACAGTGATTGATTGACATGGGCACCGGCGACCCCCATGACCCAAAATGGAAGAAGCGGGTAAAAGATAATGGATGGATGGATGGATGAAAAGTGTTAAATGTTATTTGTTAGCATTAGTCACCTGCGATGCTGTCTCACTTGTGGAGGCTTGTTCCAGGTTCCTAGCTGCAGTGTGGGATCTTCTGCACTCTTGTGCATGAAGGACAGCCTTTTTAAGTTCAAAGTTTTTGTCTATCCATTGCCGTAAGACTAATCATGCTAACGGGGCTAACTCTTGATGTCCAAATGTCTGTGGTAAAACTCACCTAAGTGCTATCGGTTATTAGCTTCTCAATGATGTCGGAAATGACCGCTTATAACTCGGGTAAGGCTACTTTGGAAAAATATCTCCAACTGGGGACAATGTAACATAGTCCAAAAATCTTCAGACTCTGATATCCTCAGCGAAAAAAAACCCTTCCACACCACTGATATTTTGAATTTTCATCTCCGTCATGATCAGATCAGATAGGCGTGCGTGACATCATCACGTTGTGCTGGCGCTGCAGGCATCCTTGTCACTGGGTTGTCATACAAAAGCATCACCTTTTATATTGGTGAGTTATTTTAATGGAATGGCCCATGTCCAATATTTAACTTTAACGCTAATATTGGCCGATACCAATACCATGCCGATAATATTGTTAATCGCCAGTTTAATTAATATTTGTAGGTCTTGGATATGCTCTGTTTGCTGCAGGTGGAAGTTACAGTTTAAACACAACACGAAACTTTTCCATCCTCATCAAAAGATGAACATTATATCTCAAACCAAAAACTTCAGATCTGGTGAATTCTGCTGAAAATCACACTGTTTTGTCAATGTGTCACTAAAATAATTTCACTTTGAGTAAAAATGTTACAAAATGACATCATGTTCTCATATTTGGGCCATTTTTCCTTTTTCATTGTTGTTAAGCTCCCCTCAGCTCTGGCACCGGGGGTTTTGTCATGTAACCTTTTCCTCTGCCATTTTCAGGAGCAAATAGGAGTTCAGTCATCTCCTCTTTCACTGCAAATATGTCTGGCCTGTCAGAGACAGAAAGGCACCTTCTTGGTGAGTGCTTTTGTTTGCTCTTTTTTTTTTCCACCTAACAAACGAATTACATGAAATCTAAATGTCTGTCAAACCATCATATTCAGGAGAGTAACAATAAACCTGCATTAACATTCTGTTCAAGATGGTGTGTATTTGGTGAAATCCTTGGGAAGGTAAATGACTTAACTCGAGTCCTAGATTAGATCAGAGTCCACAGGGGCTTGAAGAACAGTCCTTGTTTACAACATTGACAGGAAGAAACTGAGTCAAATCATTTGCTGAGAAGAAACTACCTCAATCAAGTCTGCTAGTTGATTATACTCCACTGACAATAGGAATGAAAGCCGACGGCTCCCCAGATGATTAAAATCAATTTGAGAAACTCAGTGCTATTTTCCAAATGATTGCACTCAGCGTTACAATGAAATACAGCTCAGCTGTAGCCCAGACCCTCTAACAAAACCACAAATTGTGTCTACCCTTGTAAACATGTGTATTTTCAGGCTTGCACAAGGTGGTGGTCATCATGTTGCCTCTCAGCCTTATTCTGCTGGTGTTGGGCTGGATATTTGGACTTGTCAGCTCGTTGGCCTGCAGCCCCAAGTTGCTGGCTGCATCGGCATCCTACTTTCTTTGTTGCAGTAAGTCCACACACAATGTTTTGCAGAACAGGTGTGCTTTGCATGAAGCTTCAATTCTCTACACGTCATTCTTTCTAGCATGCACAACAGAAATCATAAAGGTGCAGTTTTGAGTGAGAGAAAACCTTGAACATTTTATTTCAGCTGCTTTTATTCATTTCTGACTAAAGCCGCTGTTAGATTCTAAATTCAGCTTTCGTAGCCATGAGCGGTACAACTGAGTGGACTGATGGCCAGTGGTAAAGTCATTCTAACTGTGTGAGTGTTGCATATTTATAAATAATTGAAGAACGTCATTGGGTCACCGTATAGATAATTTAGAGTGAGGTATGAAATGTCTTTCTTGATTCGTAAGTGAAGATAATGAACTATAATAGAAAAAATACAGATTTAAAGAGAAAAATGCAACAGTGGCTTGAGTTTTGCAACAGGTGTCTGACTCAAGATACAGTATTCTGATTTAAATGTTGTCGAAGTGAGTGTTGGTAATATTTCTGTCACATTTCATCAAGCTTTCGTTGCTCACCCAAACACACAAAGGGATAATTGTTATACGATACGTAACAGCGTGATTGCAGCTGAGATTTAACAACAAGGGCAAAAATTATTCCTTTTTTAAATATATTTTTTAATCAAATAAATTGAGATTACAAACTAGACACAATGCCACCAAACTGTCTCAGCATGGATAATGGCGTAAGACAGTATTTATGACAGCATGTTGGCTGATTGCTCACTCACAGCAAAACATCACACAAATCTGCACACAAGAGATTCCTGTTGATTGAAGGAGCCTCACTTCCTGAGGCAGTTGTCAAATATCTTTGTCCTTTGGCTTTGCCTGGAGCTGAAATATAAAAAATTAAAGGGCCAAGTCATAAATAAACATATTTTAAATGTTGGAATGTCTTTAACCATCCATTATCTTTACCTGTTTATTCCATTTTGGGTCACGGGGGTTGCCGGTGTCCATGTCCAGCAATCACTGTGCGAGGGGCGGGGTACACCCTGGACGGGTCGCAAGTCCATCACAGGGCCACATAGAGACAAACGAGACAAACAACCATTCACTCTCTCACTCACACCTAGGGACAATTTAGAGTTACCAATCAGCCTAACATGCATGTTTTTGGTCTGTGGGAGGAAACCGGAGCACCCGGAGAAAACCCAAGCATGCACGGAGAGAACATGCAAACTCCACCCAGAAAGGCCCCTGGACCGGGGTTTGAACCAAGGACCTGCTTGCTGAGAGGCAGCAGCTCTACCAGTTGCGCCACCGTGCTGCCCGGAATGTCTTTATAAAGTCTTTAATTTTTTTGATCAGTGACCAGCAATATGATACAGAAGTTAAACAAAAGTAATCCTTATTTTTCAAATCTACTTTTAGATAAAGCTTCTTTTTTTAAGCAGCAATGTCCCAGAGCACAGACAGTACACTTGATGTACTGCTTCCTTAAATGACAGTGCAAGGGCATGTCTTTTATCAGCACCACTGCAACAGAGGGATTTTTTCTTACCTTGTTCAGCTTTTGAACTCTGGCTATAAATTTGACAGCAAGAGAAGAGAATGACTTTGACAGGGACTGAACTCAAAGTGAAGACAGACAGACAGCTAGATAGCAAGAGAGAGAGAGATAGATAGATAGATAGATAGATAGATAGATAGATAGATAGATAGATAGATAGATAGATAGATAGATAGATAGATAGATAGATAGATAGATAGATAGATAGATAGATAGATAGACTATCTATCTATCTATCTATCTATCTATCTATCTATCTATCTATCTATCTATCTATCTATCTATCTAAGGGGACGTCAGCCCGTGACGCGCCTCATAACTAATCACGCGCATGCATTACTTTAACCACGCGTGAGGAGGCAACGCGCACGATCACAAGAAACGTTGCACTGCTGTGGCACACACTGCAGACCAGACTGACGTGACTTCACAGCCAGCTCACGCTGCCTCCATGAAAATAAGCCCTCAGTCCAAACTGAGGCTGTAAAAACGAGTTCCTTCTGTGTCCAAAGCGTTTAATCCTCAGCCCCGGATTATTAAACACGATTATAAATCACTCTGATTTGCTGTTAAGTGTCCATAAGAATGTCCTTTCCGTGCACGTTTGCCCTCTGTTACGCGTCGTAACCATCCGAATGTCCTCTGATTTGTAGCCGAACTTAGGAATACGCAGATGACTACAGAAATATGCGCCGCGTCTCATAAGCCCCGTTTTTGTTTTTTTTTTTTTTTCTTCCTTCTCCTTTGCAGATGCACGCACGCAGCTCAGCGCGCCTCGCAGCTCTGTGCTCAGTGTGAAGTGGCGCGGCTGTGGCAGCACAATATTTGGCTGTAAACAGAGACAGCGCTGCTGTCTCCATGCGAAACTTGGGCTTTTAGGAGACGGTGAGTGATTTCAAGGAGGATTTTATTTTATTTATTTATTTATTTATGTATTTTTCATTGCGCAAAGAGGTTCGGCTCGCGAGCGCAAAGCTGGTGAGAGGATACCTATCCTGGAGTTTCGTTTGCGTGGTTATTTTTCCATCCCAGCTTGTGCGCGCTTTATCCATCTGTGCTCCTTTCGCCTCGTTGTGAGTACTTACTGTCCTGTTTTATGACTGCTATGTTCGTAGATGCAAGAGTCTTTATGTTTTAAGCCAAATGAAAAGATGGTCAGCCTTATCTTACTGGTAGTCATCATAGGAGTCACGCACGATGGATATAACACGATGCTTTTCCCATTATTTTTTTTTTTTTCCAATTATGTAGCATCCACTGGGAAGATAGGGAGACAGCAGAGGAAGTTAAACTGTGCTGCATATAAAATGGGCGGTCTTGCCTTAATATTCCCTTAGAACAGCCCACTAAAATGAAATAATCTGTGCTCGGACAGGCTGATGAATGATGCGCGCCTCATGTCGAAGTGGGGGGAGGAATCGATGGACTAGAACATCCAGGTGCATGTGCTCGATTTGTTAGTTTAGCGAAACCTTTCTGTTGCTGACAGGCTGAGAGTTGAACTCACTGCACAGCCACCCAATGAACAGTGAGAGAGACCTGCGCATATCGTCAGCAGCCGCTTCTCCAGCCTCGAGCTCAAATTCGTCAGATCTGAGATCACAGAGGATTTTTTTTTCTCTCCTCCCTCATTTGGTCCGTGTAGAAAAAAAAAAAAGATATTTGCAAAAAGTTTGAGGATATAGAAAGAGGACATCTAAAACACCCTGGCTCTTCTGCTGTAAGTGATATTCCTCATTTTCTTGCCTTTATAATGGAGAAAATATTTTACTAGGAGGGGGGGGGGGGGGGAACCGGCTTTAACAAGGGGTGTATTTTTATGATAGTCGCCACAAGACGAGTTTTACTGAGGGGAAGGGTGACTTTGCCCCTCACATTAGTGCCGTTTAGGGAGTATTTTATGATCAGAGCCTGGTTTCAGCACCACGGATAGCGTCAACGCACATTTGCTTAATTACTCCGCCACGCACGGATCGTCGTGCCTGTATTTAGATCAGCCTGGCAGGGATGCCAGCTGCATGCAGAATTTCACTCCTAATATAATCGGATGTTGTCGAGAAGAGGTCGACACCTCAATCCCCCCCCACACACACACACATCCCCCCACCTCCTCGAAATAACTTCGAAAGTGTGCTTGTGAGGGATTTTCTCCCACAATTCGTCCATGTTTGTCATCCTCGCTTTATTAAAGCCCTGTCAAGTGAGGGCTTTATTTATTTTTTTTAAATGCCAGT